TGAAAAGAGAATCATTGAAGTTATGTTCAATTGATCTAGTTCACAAAGTAAAGATCATAGACAAACATAGTATGCATACTTGGTGTGGCATGACTAGTGTTTAGAAAACATAGTGTACATGCTTGGAGCATGGGACAACTATTGTTTTAAATTCAAGAATAAAGTTGATAGCTGAAACAGTATACAATGAATAATGTGTAATCATATGGTGATAAATAAAAGGTGTTTTATTTATGTTCATAGGTTTTGATACCATATTGGATTCAATTATTATTGTGTTTCACTTTGCATGTTTTGACTTCCCGAATAAACTAGGTTATTCTTCCGGAATGACTAAGTTATTCAAACCATCCACAGTCGGTCATATGTTGGAAGTAGATATGAATTAAGACTGTCATGGGTTGGCTTGTAGAGGTCTAAGGTGTTGGACAAAGGGCTACAACACTCATGAGTGCTCATAAGTTCTGAGTATTGGATTCAACCCGCGCTCATTGGAATCACTTCATGGATTTTATCACGAGTGATCATGAGACGATAATATCTTATATTCTTCAAACCTAGAGATATGAGTTGTTACTATGAGTTGGTTGTACATTGATTGCACGAAACCGCATTTGGTAACTCGGTGCTATAAAACGTGCCTTTGTGTATGATTCAACAAGTAGTAGAACAAGCCATATGAGTCGAAGTTTATCCATTCCTTTTACCTTCGGGATAAAAGCGATATCTGTGGGCCCCTCGATGATTTGATGATGACAAATGGAAGTGCTCGGCCGGGCCAGGACTGATTTGATTTGTTCAATTAGTCAGTCGTCATAAATCGGAAATCGGGAAACAACAAATGGACAGAGAGAATGATTATAATCCATGTCTCAGTCCATATGATATCTAGAATGGAGGAATATATGATCCCTTATCTAATGGACAAGTCATTGACAAAGGTCAGAGTTCATCGACAAGGTCAGAGTTCGACAGAAGCTTTTGAGAGCTACGATTGCCAGTTGGTTCCTGAAGTCATACGCAATAATAGTTTTAGACTTATCCAAGTGGGAGACTGTTGGATTAATGTCTAAGTCCATAACTATAATTGGTAAGACTTGACCCGACCCGGCATGGTCCATTTGGGTTGCATGGCATCATGCACTTGGATAGACTATAATGAGAGAAATAAGACACTTATGGTTATTAATATATTATAAGTTCTAGTATATTAATAATAAGAATAATAAGATTATTTAATTAGTATTGATCAAGAATTAATCTAGGATTAATTAAGTGATCAAAAGAAGACTAATTAAATATATGGGTTGATTGTGTAAATCATCCATACTTGTATAGTGGGCTAATGCTCCATGGATTATCTAGTTGGGCCAAAACCCATATGATGCTCCATGGTGTATTTGAACCCATGGATCCAAGGAAATGGAAAGTCATGACAATTAGGGTTTGCCCTAATTGTAACACTATATAAAGATATTATTCTTGACAAAATCGGCACTAGTATGATTCTAGAGAGGGCTAGCCGATTTTCATGAAGTGTAGAATTCTCTCAAGTTATTCCAAGTGTATTTGGTGTTGTGTGAACCATTTGAGGTGTCACACTTGGGGCACTAGGCACTCAAGCTTCATGAAGACATTCTACATCAAAGAGGTATGTATTTTATCTTGTTATATTGATAATTTTGTATGCTAGATTAGGATAATACCTTGGATGTTCATATTTGCATGTATAATAGAGAAAACATAGATCCAAAGTATTTAGGGTTGCATGTACACTTAGGAGTGTTAGAATGCTCATAACCCAACACTTGCATCTAAGATAATGTTTGGTACCACTAAACTATATCGCTTTTCTTTTACTTTGGTCATGCTTGGCTAAACTTTCATTTGGTTGGTTAAGGTTTAACCCATTGATGATTATTTGCTTTGAAGACTTATTATTACATTGTGTTTGAAGTTTATGGAAATGTTTTCTAGTTAAACATCTTGTTGTGTTTATTTATCTTTGATCATGAGCCTAGATGAATGAATGCTTGTTTTTGTTGACTAATTTATTGGTTAAGTAATGGATCTTCAAATTAGTAAGCAACAAATGGTTTATATGTTTGTTTTCATTTCATTTATGCAATGGAAATGTTTCCTCCGTAATGATAATGTACGCATTTGATTATCTTTTGGACTTGGTAATTCTTATAACTTAAAGCTAATTGATTTTCACAAGATTTTATGCTTCATTGATTTGGTGACTTCAATTAAATGTGTTAAGAGCTCCTCTAACCATTTTAATTTCTAAGAAGAGTTGAGGCAATTTGTGCTTATGAATTGCTATAGCCAAGTTAAACCAATTCACAAGTGTTATTCCATTAAGTCTAATGATGAGTCAATCATATCATCCATGAGGTGTACCCCAAATCAACCAATTCTACTTCATTGAATTTAATCCAATCTTTTACTTGTTTACTTGTCATATTTTCATCTTAGCTAGTTTTAATTTAGTAAAACAATCAAAAAGAATTAAACCCCCCATTTTACTTTTAATTTTGTTTTGCAAGTATTTTACAAAGAGATTTACATAGATATTTAAATTGAACCAATCTCCATGGATACGATTCCTTTACCACTATACACCATTTTAGTGTGTAATATTTAGGGTTATTATTTTTGTTGGTGTCGACAACCACCACGGTCCTGCTTTGTGCTGAAGGCCGAGATACCCAAGGTGGTTTGAATAGACTGTACGCCCTGCGAGACGGTCCAATCAGGTCGAAGCCCCGACGAGCGGTCCAGATTGGGAATTGGTTCCTATGGTATGATATACATTTATCTAATATCTCCGTGGTTTATTTTCAGTATGGTGGTTACTAGGCGATTTGAGTCAGGATCCGGATCAGGTGGCCAGGATCGGGTTAGGGAGATCCTTCGTGAGGAGTTGTTTGGATCTATCAAGACCGTTATGATGGAGTTTTCGATGACCGATATGCTGCACTTTCTGAGGCTACTGCTGCTGCAGCCACCGCTGTCGTTGTTGCTACTGGGATTGGCACTAGGAGAACTTTCCAGTACCGGGACTTCGACAATACAAACCCTCCCTGTGTTTGATGGGGTTCAGTATCTAATCATTGCCATAAGGTGGCTGTCAGATGTTGATGGATGTTTCTTTACTTGCCCTTGCCCAGCTGACGAAAAGGTTAAGTGTGCTATGAACCTTCTTCGGTATGGAGTGAAGGATTGGTGGAGGCTGGTTACTAGTTCATACACCCATAGCAACGAGTTGCAGTATCATGGGAGAAGTTCTATGACATGTTCCCTTCGAGGGATTGTCGCCAGCCGACCCCAGTTTCGAGTACCAGAATTTGTTACCACTGTGATCAAGTTGACCATATGAAGGTCAATCTTCCAACCCAACTCTAGTTTACACTCTATAAAAAAAGAAATAAACATATACATTTTAAATCTGAAGGTCAATCTTCCAACCCAACTTTATTTTCCACCTATTCTATTTTTACATTGTATTTTTAAAGTATATAATAAAATGTAGAATGAAGTTGGAGATTAAATAATAAACTATATTCATACTTTAAAAATAGAATGTGATTAGAGATGTTCTAATATTTAACAAATTAAAGTTAATAACTGTTAAATATACAAACCAAATTGATAATGAAACCTGAAATAAAAATATATTTTGCAAATCAAAACTATCTACCCAAATTATTAAAAAAAAAATCAAACCATAAGGTCCACTGTTTAGTTTTCATAATAAAAGATAAAAGAAAAAAAATAAGGGAAATTTCTAGAAAAGTTCAAATATTTTAGGAAATTTTTTAATAAAGTCATAAGTTTTATTTTTTGAAAAAAATTCATAACTTTTTCACTTTTTGAATAGACAAGCCCAAGAAACCGACTAATTTATTCACTTTATCTATTTTGACATGTTCAGCAGGTCGTGAGACCAAATTATTAATTTTTTGAAATTAATGAGATTTTTTTTGCAAATTTTGTCAAAATTTATATATAATGTATAAACATATTTTGTTTACGTATTTATATCTATTTTTACATATTTGTGTATTTTTAAAGTTTTTATATGTATATATTTACGTATTTTTATGTATTTTAATCATATAAACATTTTTTTACTTATTTATATGTACTTAATTATAAATTTAAAATACATAACCATCTATATAAAAAACTTAAAAAAAAAATACATAAATACACATAAAAACGTAATACATAAAAAAACACATCAAAATACATAAAAATATGTAAAATATTTAAATATACATATAAATATGTAAAAAATACGTTTATACATTTAAAATACTTAAACATCTGTATAAAAAACTTAAAAAAATACATAAATACATAATATATAAAAAATAACACATAAAAATAAATAAAAATATATAAACTACTTAAAAATGCATATAAATACGTTAAAAATACGTTTATAAATTTAAAATAAAATAAACAATGTAAACATATACATACATAAACTTACAAAAAGACAAATATGTAAAAATATATATAAATACATAATATATAAAAAATAACACACAAAAATACATTATATATATATATATATATATATATATATATATATACACGTAAAAAAACACATTAATATATTTAAAATACATAAACATATACATATAAAAAGTTAAAAATAGAAAAAGTACGTAAAAATAGATATAAATATGTAAAAAATACGTTTATACATTATATATAACTTTTGATAAAATCTGTAGAAAAAATCCTAGTATTTTAGAAAAATTTACGATTTAGTCATCTGACCTGTTGAACAAGTTAAAAAGAACTAAAGTGGAGAAATTAATCGATTTATTGAGATTTTCTATTCAAAAATTTAAAAATCGAACTTATTTATTTAAAAAATAAAATTTTAGACTTTATTATTTATTTTTTTTCAAAATATTAGGTATGTAGATTTCCAAAAAGAAAAAAAATGTAATGATTAAATTGCAAAAATAAACAACATGCCTTCTTATATAATTCCCCAAATAAATGTAGCATCGTGTTTACCAAAGAAATTGTGCTACTTTTGGCGCCAATTTCACTCCTGATCTTGGACGAGACCTCTCTTCGTCACATCATCTTCATGATACAACATACCTGCAAACCCTAGTTTGCTCCCAAATACTCTCAATTCGACTGGATACCAAGTAGTTCGAAGATTGTTCAAAAAATGGGCGAACCCCGCGCTAAGCGTCCGAAAATCAGCAGGTAATTTCCTTCGAAACCCTAGAATTTTCTGAACAGCGATTTTTCTTCAGTCAAAAAGAAATCTCTCCTTGGGTTCAGACAAGCTAACCATTTCTTTTGCAAGTTAGAATTGCAATGGATTATATAACCTTTTTCATTAATTCGGATTCCCGCATTAAACCACGTAGAGTTCATTACTAACCGTCAGATAACAGAAACAATCGTAAAATTGTGCATCTTTTTAGATTTGCATCTTCATGTACTTCATGATACCAACGATTAGACAGTGAAGCTCAACACTTTTTAGTCATTCAGCAGCTCGGATTACTTCCTTTTTGTGCTTTTTGTCTTGTTTTGTTCAGCGTTTGGAAACTGTTGTTTTTTCTTCCATGGAGCTCAGATAAGAAACTGATTTATCAGCAACATCACCATTCATCGACCATTTACACATATTTTGTAATTTATATTCCTTCAACAGGGGCGCAGATGATTATCTACCAGGGAACATAGTGGAAATTGAGATTCGCAACTTCATGACATTCAATCATCTTGTATGCAAACCTGGTTCTCGTTTAAACCTTGTTATTGGGCCAAATGGATCTGGTAAAAGCTCTTTGGTGTGTGCAATTGCTCTTGGTCTTGGAGGCGAACCCCAGGTCATAACTCATAAAAGCAATTTCCTTCATACATTTGTCTTTTTTGTTACAATTTTTGAGATTTTGAGTTTGTGTTATGCAGCTTTTGGGGAGGGCAGGAACTATTGGTGCATTTGTGAAACGTGGAGAAGAATCTGGTTATACCAAAATTACCTTGAGAGGTGACACCCCAAATGAAAAGATTATTATAACGCGTAAGATAGATTCGCGTAATAAATCCGAATGGCTATTTAATGGTAAGAATAAGATCTTTGTGTAACATTGAATTCTTTGATAATGTTATTGATGATCTCTCTCTCTCTCTCTCTCTATATATATATATATATATATATATATATATATATATCTTTTTACTTCAGGCAAAACAGTTTCCAAAAAGGAAGTTCTTGAAGTAATCCAAAAGTTTAATATTCAAGTCAACAATCTTACTCAAGTGAGTTTTCTAAAGTTTCTCTTCAGTGTTTGAGTTTCAATTCCAATAGTTTTGTCTCAGAAACTAGTCTGAGATAAAACTACGGCATCTTTAAGCTTGTTTTACTTAATATTATTGTTTTTTTTGTTGTTATTGGGATTATCAGTTTTTACCACAAGATAGGGTTTGTGAATTTGCTAAGCTATCTCCAGTGAGGCTTCTAGAAGAAACAGAGAAGGCTGTAGGTGATCCTCAACTTCCTGTTTTACATCGTGCTCTTGTTGCAACAAGTGCAGAAGTACAAAGATCTGAACAAGTAACCCTTTGAGCTCATTAAAAATAACAAACACCCATTTTCCAAAATATCATAATAGTAACATTGTACTTCTTTTCAGGTTGTTGAGAAGAATAAAGAAACCCTAAATCAGCTAAAAGCACTTAATGCTGAACAAGAAAGAGATGTGGAGCGTGTTCGCCAAAGAGATGAACTTTTAGCCAAGGTTCTTTTTTTCTTTTTCTATTTTTCTTACATGAAATTATTGGAAATGGGACTCTTTTTCTTTTGTTTTTATTATAATTTTTTTTTTTGTTATTGAAGGCTGAGTCAATGAAGAAGAAATTACCATGGTTGAAATATGACATGAAGAAGGCTGAGTATCTTGAAGCTAAAGAACTAGAGAAAGATGCAAAGAAGAAGCTTGACACAGCTGCCAAAATGTTAAATGAGTTTAAAGAACCTATTGAGTATGTTCACTTTTTTTTTCTTATAATTTTGTTTATATATCTAAATTTGAGGATGCACCCAATATGACACATGCTAACCAATGCTAGAAAAGCTAGGAAATAGTTCAAAAAGTAATTATAATATCTTTTTATAATCATGTGACAATTTGTTTGTAGGAAACAAAAGCAAGAAAAGAAGGGATATGATCTTAAATGTAAAAAAGACAGAGACCTTTTAGATAAAATTGAAACTTCACGAAAGCAAATGATGGAGAAAGAAAACCAGTTGGTATGTTGATAATTTTGATAAAGTCTTCTAATTTCTATTTCATGTTGTGTTGTGTTCTTATAAATATTGAAAAATAACATTATCTATATCTTGTTTAACTATTATTTTTCTATATTATTTAGGGTGCTAAAGTGAGTGGAAAGTATAATGACATGGAGGAATTAGAGAAACAAGAACAATCAAGACAAGAGAGAATTGCAAAAGCTGAAAAAGAACTTGCTGATGCTGAATTGCAACTGCAAAACCTTCCACCCTTTGAACCCCCCAAGGATAAAATTGTAATTTATGCTTCTTTCACTCATTTTATTCTTCTTTTTATTCAATTTTTAATCAAAAATTCTCTCTCAAGTCTCATTTACACAGTCTGTAACCCTAATCCAACTCTTTTAACTTTTTCATACTATATTTAGTGACACCAATGTTGATGTTTAATTATCTATAATCAAAATTTTATTTTATTTAAGACTATAAAAGATACATACAAGATTATTTCAGATTCTAGAATCATAATATTATTTATAAATGTATTATTATAAATTAAAATAAATGACAAGATTGGAAATGAAGACTTGGGATTTTATTTTAAAATAGGCATAATCTCAAAAAAGACCTTATAATTTGTATTTTTTCCGGAAAAAACCGAAATTTTTTTTGCCTGAAAAAGACCGTGTATTTTTTCATTTTTTCCTATCTGGCCCTTTTAGTCATTTTTTTCTTCCAAAAAAAAAATTGTAAAGTGAGGGTTTTTTCGAGAAAAACCAAAAAGGTTGAGGGTTTTTTTCGGAAAAAAATACAAAGTTGAGGGTTTTTTCGGAAAAAAATACAAAGTTGAGGGCTTTCTCAGAAAAAATGAAAAAATACAAGATCTTTTTCAGGCAAAAAATAAATTTGAGGTTTAATCCAAAAAAACACAAAATATAAGGGTTTTTTTTTTTTTTTTTAAATAATCCTTTAAAATATGCCAATATTAGGTTCAGGAAAAAAACAATGAATCTTGGTGTATTTTTTTATTTTCTATAAAAAAACGTAGTCTTATACACATAGTTGTTGCATATTTGGTTATTTATTTATTTATTTTTATAAAGATCCATTATATTACAGAGGAAAATTTGTTTTTGTAGGAAAAACTAGGTGCTGAAATATTGGAGCTGGAAGCATCTGCAAGAGAGAAAAGGAATCAAAAGAGAGAGAAAGAGAAGCTTCTAGATCGAAACAAAGCATTACAAAGACAATCTGCAGAAAGATTAAAAGAAATGGAAAATATTAAAAACAAACGTTTACAAGCATTAAAAAGTTCTGGACATGAAAAAATATTTGATGCTTATGCTTGGGTTCAAGAACACAGACATGAATTTAGGAAAGAGGTCTATGGCCCTGTCTTAATTGAGGTACTTTTTCCATTTCATAACACCATACTTTCATTTCTTTGTCTTTTATACCCTCATACTTTGAAATAAATCATCTTTCTTTAGCATTATACTTTTCAAACTTTCTTATTAGGTCATTATACTATGAAAATCTATCCAGTTATAACATTGAAAACAGCTTTTTATTTGGATTTTTCAAAATACAATGTTGTAGTAGGAAGAAATAAAAGTAGGACTATTTAATAAACACATTTACAAAAGTACATTGCTGTTGTTTTTAACCCTACATTGTAATTTATTAAATTGTTTCAACAATGCTTCAGGTCAACATCTCAAATCCACTTCATGCTGCCTTCTTAGAAAATCATGTTCCATATTACATTTGGAAGGTATTTTCAAATTGGAGCTTCTTGCATTTTTTATTGCTCTTAACATTTGTTCATTCCAAAAAGTCAATATTTATTTTTTTAATTTTTATTTAAAATGCAGGCTTTTATAACTCAAGATTCTGCTGATCGTGACTACTTGTTCAAGAATCTTAGATCATTTGATGTTGCAGTTATAAATCATGTGGCTGATGAAAGGCGCAACCCTGAAGAGCTGCATATATCTCAACAGGCATGTGAATATGTGGTGTCGCTTTTTATTTTTATTTTAATAAATCTTTAATTATGGCACTAATATTTATTTACATTTTGATTGAATAAACAGATGTCATCTATGGGAGTATATTCAAGACTTGACCAAGTTTTTGATGCTCCATATGCAGTCAAAGAGGTTCTGATTGGACAAGCTAATCTAGAGAATTCGGTATGCTTTTGTTTTTCTTCTTGTTTAAAACTAACTAAAAAACATTTTATTTTGACTTATTTGGTTATAACAAGGTTTACGTTATCTTTATTATGTATATTTGTAACTGAAGGTTTGTTAACAGAGTAAAAAATACATTGATTTATATATAACATAAAAGTTTCACTTGAAAAGTTATTCCATTCCTACATTGCTAGTTGCTACATGTTAAGTGTTAACCAAAGATGATTATTGAATGTAATGAATGACTCATTGTCTCATTCCATTCCTCTCTCAATTCCATTCTATCAAAAACTTATGCTCTTTTAATCAATTTTCAGTACATAGGGTCTAAAAAGAGCGATGAAAATGCTGACATGGCACATGGTTTTGGAATAACGGATCTATGGACTCCTGAAAATCACTATCGTTGGTCTAAATCCAGATATGGTGGTCATGTTTCAGCATCTGTTGAATCAGTTCGTGACTCTCGTCTTCTTCTATCCAGTAAGTTCTTAATTACTAGTTTGCCCTTGTGTTTTATTATCTTTTTCTTGTTTATAAAAAAAGTCTTCTTTTTGTTTATCTTTACAAAGCAATCTGGTATTGCCCCTTAAAAAATGAAATAAGTGTCGAAAGAAAGAGTAAATTACACGAATGGTCCCTATGGTTTGCGGTAATTTGCGTGATTGGTCCCTACCTTATTTTTTTAACCTGGAAGGTCCCTGTTGTTTGTTTTTGTTATGTGCTTGGTCCCTACTGTTTGTTTTTGTTATGTGTTTGGTCCCTATCTTAGCTAAAAAGACTATTATTTAAATAGGAAAAATGTTAGGGTAGGTAAGGTAAGATGAGGGGGGTGGGGTTGGGGTGTGTTTATTTTAATAAATTAAAAAAATCAAGGGCAAAATAGTATTTTTAGGTAAGACAGACACCAAGCGCGTAACAAAAACAAACAATAGGGACCTTCCGAGTTAAAAAAATAAGTTAGGGACCAAACGTGCAAACTCCCCTAAACCATAGGGACCATTCGTGTAATTTACTCCAAAAGAAACAGAAACAACATGGGCTGAAATGGGAAAGTATCCAACTTGAGGGATTAATAGACGAAACAAAAGTATTAAGCTATAGGGTGAAAACACAGAAATCTGCCAAATACAGGGGCCAAACTGTAAATTTTCTAATTGCTAGCTCTTTTGTTTGCTCTACTATGGGAAATATTGAGTAAAAGAGAGACAACATGTACATAATAGGTGAATCTAACAAAATAAAAACCCTAAAAAGCATAATATAAAACACAAATTTTCATCTTTTCAGATACAGATGGGGATGAATTAAACATACTGAGGGCAAAGAAAAATGAATTGGATGAAACCATTTCTTCTCTAGAAGCAAGTTGCAGATCATTTCAAAGTGAGATAAAGGAGTTAGAAGATTCAGCAGCTCAACTTCAAAAACAACGTGTATGATTTCTTCTTATTACAACATAACATTATCCTTATTAGAATTTCTTTTATTTTAAAATTTAAAGCAGCACTTCAAATTTCAATTCAATAATGCAGGAGAATCTTGTTAATGAAGCACAACTTGAGAAAAGGAAACACCGTGATCTAGAAAACAGAGTTAGTGAGTAACCCATTTTCTTATGCACTCTTTCTATAACTTAATCATGAAATATTTTATTCTCTGATAATCGAATATATTATTATTGTTAGATCAAAAGAGGCTAAAATTACAATCCATGGGAAAGGAGGAAGACATGGCTGTTGCATTGGCAAAGCTTGTTGAAGATGCTGAGAACTTGAATTTCCAAAGATTTAAGTGTGCATTGGAGATGAAGGTAGAAATAGAATAAATATCTTGGAAGTGTTGTACATTATTAATTATTTCATTTTTGGTTATGTGATTCTCATCATGATCTGTTTTGCAGAATCTACTTATTCAAGCAACTGGAATCAGAAAAAGTTATGCTGAAAAGTTCATGGCCTCCATTGAAATTGAAATGAAGGTACTCTTAGTATCATGTTATTACTTTCAATTTGTGTCCATATTGGTAAAAAGACCAAATTGCCCCCTTTGTGTACTCATTTTCAGTCATATAATGATACGATTCCTGTTTGTTGTTCATTTGTCAGATTAAAGAAATGGAAGCGAGTATTAAGCAACAAGAAAAGCTTGCATTGCAAGCTTCTTTACACTTTGAACAATGTATGCTCCTTCTTATTCTTATTACTTTTTTCAACATATGTTTGGTTTTTGTATGGAATGGAATCACCAATTCCATTCCTTCCATCTCTTTACATTTTATAAGGTAAAGAAGCGGTGGAGGTCCATCGGCAACTACTGGCAACTGCCAAGAAAGAAGCAGAAAAAGTTGCAGTTATTACTCGGGCTCTTGAACAGGAATTTCTTCAGGTTTTCTTCTAATATATATATATATATATATATATATATATATATATATATATATATATATATATATATATATATATATATATATATATATATATATATATACAAGAAATAGCAATGCATTTTCATTTATTTGTGTATTATAATAGCATCCTAGTTCCAAATTCCAAATGTTCAATTATAGTAGTGAACTGAAAGTTGGTTTTTTATTTGAATGGCATTTCTGTAATTTGATGTATTTTGTTATCTCTGGATTTAATCATTTAATGAAATTTGATGGTGTTTTATAGATGCCTTCAACTATTGAGGAATTGAATGCTGCAATTCAAGATATTACCTCTCAAGCAAATTCTATTCTCTTTCTGAATCATAACATTTTGGAGGAATATGAACGTCGTCAGAAAAAAGTATAATTTACTATTTTTAAATTTGAATGCTATTAAAAAAAATATATTTATGTTATGTTTTATCAAGATGATTTTTGCTTGACAGATAGAGGAGCTCTCAACAAAATTGGAATCAGATGAGAAAGAAATGACTACCCGTTTAAATGAATTGGATTCTTTAAAGGTTAAGTAACAAGTTCATTTTCATTAATAAGAAGTTGAATCAGGACAAAAAATATTGTCTGTGCAAAAAGATGTAAACGCCCTTGTCATCCTCATCATTGAAAATTTCTATAGAACATCAATGGTACAAAAATTGCAAATTTTTGTCCCTTCCAGAAAGGTGGAACAAGGACTTGCTCTTGATCTTTTGTCTCCAAAAAGACGGAAATGCCCTTCTCATCCTCATCATTGAAAGTTGCCCTAGAATGTCGATACTACAAAAAAAATTACAATTTTTTGTCCCTCCCAAAAAGGTGGAATAAGGACTCACTCTTGATCTTTTGCCTGCAAAAAGACTTATATGCCCTTCTGTCCTTCTCATAAATGCCCTTTTCATTCTCATCATGGAAAATAGCTTTAAAAAATGTCAATGGTAAAAAAAATTGCAGTTTTTGTCCCACCCAAAAAAGTGGGATAAGGAATTTCTCTCTTCTGTGAAAAAGACATAAATGCCCTTTTCATTCTCATAATAAAAAAAACAACCCTACAAAGCTCGTTCCACATTTACAAAATTCTTTGATTTTGCTACCTACAGGGAAGATGGCTTCCAACACTTAGAAACTTAGTTGCTCAAATAAACGAGACATTCAGCAAGAATTTTCAAGAAATGGCTGTTGCTGGAGAAGTTTTATTGGGTTTGTCCAAAATACCCCTGGAATTTTATAATACATTTACATTCATCAGCTACTTTATTGATTTGATTTTTTTTTTTTGTTTCTACAGATGAACATGGAAACGATTTTGATAACTATGGAGTTCTTATTAAAGTCAAGTTCAGGTAATACCCATTCATATTCTGATTCTATTTCTTTCATTATTTATTGCTCTATTTGAAAATTAAATAACTTTGTAAAGAAACAACAAATAAAAAAAATAAACACTTCTATTTGCTTTTGATTTCACAATTCAGGCAAACAGGACAACTTCAAGTGCTAAGTGCTCATCATCAATCTGGAGGGGTATAACAATGAGTTATTTTAATTAATGTTTGCACTAAATGCAATAAATAAAAACATACTTTCATTTATTTCTACATCCATTTTTTTTTTCTAATTAGTTGAAACATATTCCCAATCTACCCTATTAGTAGATTTTTCAAAGCACAATGCTGTAATAAACAAACCAACGATATGTCATATGAAATGACAATCTTGCCCTTGTGTAGGAACGTTCGGTGTCAACAATTCTTTACCTTGTTTCACTACAAGATCTCACACACTGCCCATTTAGGGTTGTTGATGAGATAAATCAAGGTTTTTGAATAATTCTTTTATATTTATTTATATTGTGTTATAAATTTTTTAATACTATCTAATTTTTTCTTACATGTTAGGAATGGACCCCATTAACGAAAGAAAGATGTTTCAACAATTAGTCAGAGCTGCAAGCCAGCCTAATACTCCACAGTAAGGGCATTTTCGTCATTATCTTTAAATTTTCTTTGTCCTCAAGTTCCTACAACAGGACAAAACAAAACAAAACAGATTAGGTTTTACTGAAAAGTTCCACCCAAATATATGAGACATAGACTTGTGTAAAAGACGTGAATGCCCTCATCATTGAAAATAGCCCTAGAAATTGCACTAAATGATTGTGTGTGTGTGTGTGTGATTTATAGGTGTTTCTTGCTTACTCCAAAATTGCTATCTGATTTGGAATATGGTGAGGCGTGTACGATTCTAAATGTGATGAATGGGCCTTGGATTGAACAACCTTCAGAAGGTTATATTTACATTTTATTCCCTTATATTATGTTTTCCATTTTCATTTAATTTTCTTTTTTAAATTCTAAAAAAAAAGCATAAAAACTATGTTCCCAAAGCAAGAAAAGTGACACTTTAGACATGACATGACATGACTTTGTATCTTTGGACAAGACTTTGTATCTGTGTTTGACATGCATTGGACTGAGATCCTGACTGATGACAATGACAAGTTTGATCCAAAAGGCGGGGCATGGACTCTCAATTTCTCTTTTATGCAAAAGACGTAAATGCCCTTGCCCTCGTCACCGAAAATAGCCCTAGGAAATTTGTTTGGCTTATGGATTATGACTTTGTTATGGGTTGGTTGTTTGCAGTGTGGAAATTTGGAGGAAGTTGGGGGACTATTATGGGATTATTGGGAGAAAGTCGTTCTTAATTTCAGTTGAATAGATAGGGTAGAGGAATTATAAGTCTTGTACCAAGTGAATTCTGATTGTTGTTGAATTCTTTTTTTCTCCTTGATTTTGATGCCAATGAGATCAATATTAGCATGGGGTGTAATAAGATGGTGGATGTATTGTGTTACTCTTAAGACCCAACTTACATAACATTGTACAAAATGTCATAAATGTAGTATTACATGACAATTTAGAAAAATAGAGTTTAGACATTTTTGTTTTAGAGAGCTACCAAAAGGATGAATAATTAATTTGTTTATCATTTGATTTTATTTAAGAGTCAACATATCTAGTCAAAACAATAAAATATATAATGGAAATAGCAATACCAGGGTTATACAACCAAATAAAATAGGTTATTTTATACTTGATGATAACATCTTTGACCAGAAACTTGACAATAACATCTTGATCAACAATTGACCACTGTGTTGTGACCAACACCTATAATATCTTATTCCATTAAGCTCTTAACCACTAAGTCTAGAGCCCTAAAGCTCATATCTAATCTTATAATGATTCTTATGGATATGGCTTCCAACTTTATCCATTCCAAATGTTCAAAACAATGAGATCTCTAACCCTAACTTTCCAAGGGACCGAAAATATCACAAAGACCATGAATGCCATTAAAATGAAGATGAACTCCATATCTTAGCACCACAATGGGTCTAGAACACTTAAAGAGTCAACCATTAACCATGGAGTTGTCGAGACTCCAACTCATATCCATCAAAAGGGCCAAAACAAACATATATAACACTAAAACTCCAAATACTCTCAGATTTAAAGATGAAACACAATAAAGCAATGATCTTTATAACTTAAAGGGTCCATAATAGTATAGATGATAGAGATCTACAAGCATCAAGCTTCCAAGCACAACCATTATTGCCATCTTCACCAAAACACCCAAAATAGGCACCAAAAAGAGATTCAAGGAGAGAGGAGGCGCTCAAACTATGAAGATGGAGGTTAGGGTTTGCTCCTAATGAGCTCTTTATGTGATAGAGGTTGTAAAATGACCTAAAACACGAAGGTAATGTCCTTAAATACGGGGGAAACCCTAATTTTATGGGTTTAGGCTGCACATCTCACCACGCCGTGGTGACCATCTCACCACACTGTGGTGATGGGTTTTTGCTCATTTCTTCCAACTTTAAACGATAATAACTTCCTTGTTTCTAATTTGTTTTTGGTGATCTTTATATGCACATGAAGGTATTAACAAGCCCCACAATTATATCTAATTACTTTTGACTTAAAGAATACCAAACTTAATTCATTAATACATGCAACGAGCCTAAAATATCACTTTCTTCCCATTCTACCCTTTTGGCTATAAAGCAAAATTACAAGGGTCCATAATAGTATAGATGGTAGAGATATACAACCAAGCTTCCAAGCACAACCATTATTGCTTTCTTCACCAAAACACCCAAATTAGGCACCAAAAAGAGATTCAAGGAGAGAGGAGGTGCTCAAACTATGAAGATGGAGGTTAGGATTTGCTCCTAATGAGCTCTTTATGTGATAGAGGTTGTAAAATGACCTAAAACACGAAGGTAATGTCCTTAAATACGGGGGAAACCCTAATTTTATGAGTTTGGGCTGCACAACTCACCGTGCTGTGGTGACCATCTCACCACGTCGTGGTGATGGGCTTTTGCTCATTCCTTCCAACTTTAAATGATAATAACTTCCTCGTTTCAAATTTGTTTTTAGTGATCTTTATATGCACGTGAAGGTATTAACAAGCCCCACAATTATATTTAATTACTTTTGACTTAAAGAATACCAAACTTAATTCATTAATACATGCAAAGAGCCTAAAATATCACTTTCTTCTCATTCTACCCTTTTGGCTCTAAAGCAAAATTCAATGGCTTAAATCACTTAACCAACATTATCAACATCTAATAAGGTCTAAACTTTATTCATTTGAATCCCAAGACCTTTACTTGATTAAATTATGGTATGATATCCTGAAATTAGAAACATTTCGAAACTGGATGTTACAATACGTATGACTCATCTACACTTCTAGGAAATCTAAATCCTTTGACCTTTTTTTAAAGTAAAGATTCAAGCTGCGAGATGTTTGTTTAAGTCAATAGATTGACTTTTCAAGCTTGCGTGTCTTATTAGGTTATTTGATATGTTTAAAACCCTTTGGATGTGTCATATACACATCCTCTGTTAGTTTTCCGTTATGGAAAACAATTTTAATATCTATTTGCCATACCTCATAATCATAGAAGGAAGCTATGGAAAACATTATCCTAATATTACCCTTGCTTAGTTATCATAATCCCAAAGAAAAGTAGACGAGTAGAACACCACCACCATCACCGATCGTGCCAATGATATATGTAGCCCACCATCATCTCCTACATTTTCTCCCCACCCACACTTTCCGCTTTAGTTATCTTCTCTACCGCCTCTCCCTCCCTTTAAACCTACCAATGCTTTCTCTCTCCAACGTCCTCGCCTCTCCTTCCCTTTAAACCTACCAATGCTTTCTCTCTCCAACGTCCTCGACAAGTGTAAAGTCGCCGCCACAACATCCACAACACGAGTGGTCCTTCACGAGTGCAAACCCCGATTTTAAATCAATGTAGAAGGTTAATGGAAGTTGATCTATCGTCAAGTTTCTAGTCAAGATGTTAGTCAACTATTATGATATTAGTCAAAACAATAAAATATATAATGGAAATAGCAATACCAAGGTTATACAACCAAATAAAACAGGTTATTTTATACTTTTTACTCATATTATCCAAAAATAAGAATGAAACAAATTTATCAAAGATATATGTTTTCCTTGGTTTTGCCGCTCGAAGTGAAATATCATTCCAAATTTCACTTTGGATCAAAAAGCGGTTGTAAGAATAACGACATCAAAATATTGACTTTGGATCACATTCAAATGATTATTATCCGTACAAGTAATGGTATTCACAAAAGTAATTCGTGAAGACACATTTAAATCCCACCACCTGTTTATTGTAAGTGTGAAAGTTTAGTTATTCCTTTTGTGGAAAAAGTAGTTTGTCTTGAATAAAAAGTGATTATCCTTTCCTTTGATACATTTTGCTCTTTGGGTGTGTTTGGTAAAAGTAGTTGTTAGCTGAAAGCGAGTAGCGAGTAGCGGGTAGTGGGTAGCTGGTAGCTGGTAGCGGAAGGCTGTAGCTTTTATTTGTTATATGAATGTTTGACAAAAGTAGCTGGAAGCTTTTGAAATATATAAAATTATATAAAAGGACAATTTATTAAAAATAAAAAAAAATATATAAATATATTTTTAAGGGTAATTATGGAAATTGATTTCAAAAGCTCCGGAGCGTTTTGTTAAAAGTTACATGAAGTAGCTTTTAGAATCGGAGCGTTTTGTTAAAACTAAAAGTTAAACGCTCGTACTGCCAAACGAAACTTTTTGTTTAAACTAGAGCGTTTTGTCAAAAGCTAAAAGCTAAAAGCTCCCAAACGCTTCCAAAAGCTCCGTGCCAAACGCGCCCTTTATGTACAATATTATGGCTTTTATTTTTCCAAATCGGTTTAGTGCACATTCTTATCACTTTTATTCCAATTAACTTTTTCTTAGTGGAACAGTGGGATCATAGAATTGGTTCTTTGATAGAACCTCATTTGGTTATATTTCTAACATTAACAAATATGCTAACATAATAATTTGAGGTTTGTAGCTCCAACCACTTTTTAGCATTTGTGGCGATTAATATACCATTTTTTATAACAATGAATATAAAAGAATCAGGATGGATTCGTTATGTCGTAATGTTATATTTTGTATTTTTTTAGTGGATGAAATTGTAAAACCCAAATTCTAGTCCAAAAATACATTTTTTTTTTTTTTTTAAATTTCAAATAAAGAAGACATAAATCGTGTACTTTTTTACATATTAGGGTCAACAAATTCATATCATTGAATATATAGTACAACCCATTGCGTAAAAAAGACATGAACTAAAAGAATCATCAACACTCTACTTCTATCATCTACACTTGATCTCGTACTTTATTTTGTTCTTTGCATATTATTTGCATATTAAATCCCTACTCAAAGTTTCAACACTTCAACTTGTTACCTGAAATATCAACCATAAACAATGATAAGCTATAAAGCTTACTGAGTATCGTATATCACCCTTTTGTCTTTCCTTTAATATTTATATGGTTTCATTTTTCTTGCTATAAAATTTACCTCACATTACAAACATATACAAGTCTTAGAATGAAATGACAATCGTAGACTACATCTCTAATATCATTGCTCCACCCTTATAGGCTTCATCTATAGTTTCCATCCACACAATTACAATGAATTTCATCCATATATGTTAACATCTAAACATAGATATCATATATGTTCCCATATCAAGGGAAAGAATGAGTTCTTCCAAACATATCTATATCTTATCACACATAGACTTCATCCATAGTTTACATCCACATAATTACCATGTCTTCATCAATATATGTTAACATCTAAACATCGACATCATCTATATTCCCATATTCATAGAAGACATGAGTTCATCCATATATCTGTTCACTTTACATGAAAACTCCTATAGAATATTCATAATAAGTCACACACATATGCTATCGAACCACATCCCCCACATAAGCCACATAACATTATCTATCAAGCTATATGTTTGTTTCCTACTTACTGAATCTTGTAACTTGATCAATATAATCACACTCATTCTTTTAACATACCTACAGGTATACTAATAGTAGACCCATCTCATCCCACTTTAGTTTATAGAATATTTCCCACATATACATTTCATAACTCAATATAAGCATTATTCCTATTTTCCATATAAGCTCAATAAGAGCATATTCGACATACATCCTGCATAAGCTTACCAAGAGCATCATGAACATCCCATATATATCTATTAAGTATTTATAACATTATCCCATATGTACTACTATATCTCTTAACAAGTCATCATTCTTCACACATAAGAATTCACATTAAAGATGACATAACATATCACAACAGTTACTAACCATATCATTAGATCAAATATATATAAATTTATATCTTATAACTCAAAGTATTAAGGACTTTACTCACATTGGCTACATGTCGAAGTTGTCATCAATCTCTCATTTGGATGTGTCATTTGGGTCTTGATGAAGGTATTGTCATTTGTATTTGATTTGTCAAATTTCATTTCATAATAATACATCTATCACACATCAAACA